TACATCAAAGACTTAATTATGGACCTACCGGAGGTAGGAATTAAAAGTAAAATAAGTTAAATGAAATAATTTTTTTTTGTTGTGTTTTCAATAATAATGTAGATTTATCATATGCTATGCATCATGAATTAAATAGTGGTTCATCAGCGACAGTACCAGATTCTTCGGGAGCTGATTCCGAAGATTTACAACAACGTTTTAGTTCAACACCACCTTTACCTTCACAGGTGGTCACAACAGGAGGAAGTGCCTTTAGCGATCATTCGTGGAATTAAATTTTTTTTTTTCGTTTCTTTTTTTTTTTATATAACAGTCGTTGCGTTTGTTTATTTGCCTTTTGTTAGCCATTATCCAGCTTTTTCTTTCGTCTTTATCGTCGTGATGATCTTGAGTTTTTTTTTCTCAAAAAAAAAAAAGAAAATCTATGATGATTTCTTAACGTGATGTGACGATCTCATGCTGAGTAACGACGGAATTTCAGACAGCTGAATAAATGTGCACGAGCGGAAATGTCAACTTGAATGTGCGCGCACGTTTCTCTCGTCTTTGTTTCCTGTCAATTGGCAATTCCTATCTTTTCTATTTTTTTTTTGTCTTTGTATTAAACAGAAATACTAATCATCTACCCAGTTATTTTCACTATCATCACCTTTTGAATGAAAAGAAAAACAAAAGAGATTTTTATTTGTTCGATAGATTCATCAATATTGAATTCGTATAATAACTTGATGATGCCATGGAGAGAAGCAACGATCGATGAGAGAATCTCAATTTGCTTGGACAAATAAATGCATGCGGCATTATGTGATTGAAATATGTGTTCAAAGGAAGCCTTGGCTTTATGTGCATAGAAAAAGAAAAAAAAAGTTTGATTAAGAAACCATAAGTATATAGTTTGAATGAGATGGTGTGACTCAATGATATGTATATAGAGAGAGACAGAGAGAGAAAGGGAGAGTGTGGTCACCAACTGTGCAAGTAAACAGTGATTGCTTTTACAATAGGTGTTTCTTAATAGGTTTTTCTTGTGACTAAGATTAAGAAAAAAGACAAGTAAAGTGAATCATTGATTTGAGTATATACTTAACAAACGTGTGATCAAAATGATTATTGTTGTTGTTGATGAAAAAAAAAAGGTGTTATATGTTTTCTTTTCAAATAAATAATGAAAATAAATAAATACGATTAGAAAATAAAACGGAAGGAAATTTTTCGAGTATAGTGCAATCTAAAAGTATATTTTTTTGTCAATGTGTTAATACTTGTGCATTATTTGTTTAATTAATCTCTTGTTTCACAAGTGATAGCGAATGAATATTTTTGAGTATGATTAAAATTAAACTCATAATGAAAGCTTTCATTTACTTGTTTTTACAAATAGTAGTGAGATATTGATGTGTTTACATGAAAAAGATTTTTCCATAATTACAACTTTTACGAGAGTAAAGGTCTTCTAGTTCAGACAACTTTTTGGGATTCAACGGACTCTAGTACTGTGTTACCGAAATTGAGAGGCGGACGACTACTGAAAAGAAAAGGATCCCAATTGATGAATACTCTATATTGGTTCGAAGTGCTGTAATATAGAGTTTTTAGTGGATTTTGACTGCAATCACCAGTTTTAAAGTGAATGATGTTTTTTTGACTTTCCACTTGAAATTTTGCCAATATAAAAGTACAGATTAGACTAGCTTATAGCAAAAATCTCAGATTTTTCAATTAAGTCTTTTCGAGATATCAATTTATTTTAGATGTCTACTTTTGTTTACAACAATCATAGCAAAGCGCTTCAATTTTGAAAAATTCTGAAGTTTATTCTACTAGCTAGTGTCATCGGATCCTTTAAATGGGTAAAATTCAAAAGTATGATTTTGCTTTGAAGCTAGAACTTGCAGGAAAAACTCGCTAAACATTCAAGATCTTAGCAATTTGAATCATTGTAGAGTATTTACTTACTCACCACGATATATCAATTGACTAGCTTTGTCATGGGTATTGGTGAGCACAATAACGTAGAAAATCGTTCAGTTTCGCATAGGAAAAACGAAAATCTTCCAAGCTTGGAAGAATCACCTCTCTATGTAGTCTGATTTTGAAAAACAGATTACCGTGATTATTAGTAACAAGCTTATTTCATGTAAACACTAATATAAGTGTTTATTGATTTATGAATGACAAAAAACTGTCATATGAAAATACTCAGCCCGAAGAAAACAGCGTGTTTACGTAACTGTCTTTCGTAAGCTCGTAATATAGTGAAAATAGTAGAACAAACAATGAGCGTTTGCTAGAAAGAAAACAGCATGACGAATTAAAACGAACTGACAGTGAAAATTAATGCTGCAAGACGCTGTTTCCGACGATCGAAATGATCGCCCTGATAGATGCAATTACGTTCAATAAAGAAGTAGAACGAATTCTTTTTGTACAAGGCTCATACAATTGTTTTTGCTTATGAATTTACAAGTTTTGAACAAATTGTATATCAAAGACTTCTAACTTAATTAAAATAATAAATTATATAAAAATTTCTAATTACAAAATCTTTCATTATGTTACTAAAGATGGCGCTAGACTCAAGCTAGAGAAAATAGAATTATTAAAGTTTATTTCATATAAAATACGATATTTTCCATTTAATTTTATTTCAAAACTAGAAATTACAACATAAAACTAAATAAAAGCAATTTAACACAGTATTCGTTAGTTAAATTAGCTAATAAATTATCAAAGTCAGACAATAAATTCCAACCATCCGTCCATTTGACACATATGCAGTTAGTGTCGAATTAACGTTAAAGAGAAATATTCGAAAATTGTTTTCTTTTTTTGTAGATAAATGTTTCCAACTCCTGATCTATCTCATTTTACTCGAAATGATTATAATCAAATCTATGAACCAGATGCTGATTCATTTCTTCTTCTTGATGCTTTAGAATTAAAACTAAATGAAATTCTTGAACGAAAACCTTTTATTGTACTCGAATTTGGTTCTGGTTCAGGTTTAGCAACAACATTTGTTGCTAAACATTTTTGTTTAACATCATGTCTATTTTTTGCTATTGATATTAATCCATATGCATGCTATTCAACTAAAAGAACATTTCAACAAAATAATGTTCATGAGAAACATTGTTTAAATATAATACAATGTAATTTAGCTGATCCTTTAATTGATCGTTTATCATCAAAAGTTGATTTAATACTTTTTAATCCACCTTATGTACCAACAGAAACATCTGATGTTAAAGAAGTTATTGAAAGAACCTATGCAGGTGGTAAACAAGGTATTGAAGTTATAGAAAAAGCTATTGAACAAGCAAGTCGATTACTTTCTTCTAAAGGTTTATTTTATATGGTAGGACTTGAAGAAAATAATTTTGATAAATTAAAAGAATTAGCTAATCAAGTTGGATTAAATATTGATCTAATACTTAAACGACGAACACTAATTGAAAGATTATTTGTTGTAGAATTTCAACGAAAATGATTTGTTTTGTTTTAGATGAATGATTCATTATTTTCTCGAGTTTTATCAACTATTCAATATCATCAATTTATAGCTGGTCTTTTTGGTGGAATTATTTCATCGATTGTACTTCATCCATTTGATCTAATTAAAATACGATTTCAAGTAACTGAATCGAAAACAAATAAAAATGATCGACCATTACCATATAGACCATATTATAAAAATTTCTTTGATGCATTGCGATCAATCTATCGTGAGAAAGGTCTGCAAGGTTTATATGAAGGTGTAACTCCAAATGTTGTTGGTAATGGAATATCTTGGGGTCTTTATTTATTTATATATAATACAATTATTGTTTTAAATAATGATCAAGATAAGATGAAAAATTTAACATTTTATTATCGTGTAATTTATTCTACAGCAGCTGGTTTATTAACAATTATATTAACAAATCCCATATGGGTTATAAAAACACGTATGTGTTTACAATATTCAAAAAATAAATCAGCTGTTACATATAATAGCATGTTTGATGCATTTCGAAAAACTTATCAAGCAGAAGGAATAAAAGCATTTTATAAAGGTCTTACACCTGGTTTAGTTGGTATACTTCATGGTACAATACAATTTTCATCTTATGAACAAATGAAAAGTTTTTATACGCATGCATTTCAAACAACATATTTTCCTACGCTTATTATTTTAATATTTTCTGCTTTATCAAAATTTATTGCTGCTACATCAACATATCCAACACAAGTTGTACGTACACGTTTACAAGATCAACATCAACATTATGATGGTGTTATAGATGTTATTAAGAAAACATATGAACAAGAGGGTATTAGTGGATTTTTTAAAGGTGTAGTACCAGCACTTTATCGTGTTATACCAGCTAGTTGTATAACATTTGTTTCCTATGAATTTATTCTACACCAATTAAAACGTGGAATTATTTGATAGACGTATATCACTAAACGATTATTATCTCAATATAATTTTAGTAATAGTTTCATGCTCATTATTTATTTACATATATAAGTTATGCTACGCTTTCATTTAACTCTATGTTGTTATTGGTACTTGTTTTGTTCTCACTATATACATGTATACAGTCAAATGTTGTTTGGTCTACTCATTTATTAACATGAATATATGGGTATAGTCAATTAATTAGGATAACCGAGCTCAATTATAAAGCGGAAAAGTATAGTCAGCGTTTCTTAAAGTAATTAGAGATCAAAGTAGTCGTCTGCTCTGCAGTAATTTCTGTTAAATCTTGTTATTTCTTTAAACGTATGGTGTTTAGTAGATAGCTCCTACTCTCTCATTATTCAATATGATATAATCAATAAAATGCTTAATGGTGACATTTCATTTACACATCCATATCTTTCTCTATTAACACTAACGATAGCTTTTTTTCCCAAAATAGAGCAACATATTTCACAATGAATTATATTTTATGTGAAATTTTTTTTCAAATTCATTTCAGATTTAAACTTATCTAATTAAATAGGTAAACACAATGCCGAAATCAAAACAATTTGTTGATACTTCGGATTCCGACGAACAAAAGAATTCGGCTAGTGATGAAGAAAAAGCTAAGACTTCAACATCGACCAAGTCGAAAAGTAAAAATACAAATAACAAGGATAATGTAAGTAGTTTCAATACAAACAAAATCAATCCACTTAATCGAATTTTTTGTCAATGTTTTGTTTTCTTTTCTTTTTATGGAATAGCCACCAGCTAAACGAGTTAAACCAAATGATAAAGCAGATGGCGATGGGGTACTTTCAACAGCTGGACCTAATGGCGAACGACTTTACGAAGTAAATCATCTCAATACTTTTTTTGTAATTGAATTTTCTATTATTATCTTTTTATTGCTTAGTAGATTACGTTATATATCGGTAAGCCAATTTAAAGGTAAACCATACATCAATATTTGTGACAGAAATCACAGACTCGCCTTGTCTCGCCTCGCCTCGCCACGAGGCGAGGCAAGGTAGTATTTTCCGCACCGCGACGAGTACGAGTTGATTTCACGACTCGCCGAGTTAACTCGCCCATACTTGTTAGTGATTAAATAGTAAATCACTAACGATATCTCCCGTTTCTATTGTTCACTTTTTGAAGAATTTCTATTGGTACAGTCGAGTCCACTTATAAGAGCTCCGAATAAAGGAGCGGTCCGCTTTTAAGAGCCGTTTTCCAATTCCCCGTTTTTTTTCTCCTGTGTTTTACGTGCTGGCAAAGTCCGCTTATGAGAGCTTCGGATAAAGGAGCGGTTCGCTTATAAGAGCTTTGTTTTGGCGCTTTTTTTTGCGATTTGAGTCCGCATAAAAGAGCCATATTGTATGTTCTTGTTCTTTTCTTTTTCTATTCATCTGTTGCACGTATGTTCTTTTTTGTCTTACTCACTTGTCCTAACTGACGTCTTTGTTGAGTAAGAAGAACCATTGTCTTTTCTGTCCTTTATTCATTTTCTAAACAGACGGACGAAGCTTCTCCACTTTTTCTCTAGTCCGTCTATTGTCTCTCTCCTATGTATATATACTTGCTGTTTCTTCAATAAAGGGATCAGATATTCATCCATCCAAACTAAATCGACAAGGAATAGCCGATTTAGAAGAAGAAGACGAAGAAGAAGCCGGAATTTCTTATGAATCGATACCAAGTGTCTCTCATAAAGATGCACTGATGCATCTTTCGATGGTTTGCAAGTATTTGGAAGAGAATTTTACAGAGTATAATTCATATTATGATATCGAAGACATGATCGAAAAGAACGCTTTAATTAATCGTACTCAAAGTAAAATCACGGATTTCTTTAAGTAAATTTATGTATGTCTATGTACTACTTAATAAATGTTGACAAGAAACAATTTTTGCACTGTTTTACATATAGTTCGGATAAAGGAGCGGTCCTGATATAAGAACCTCTTTTAGAAACCCCAACTGCGCTCTTATAAGCGGACTCGAGTGTATTTTTGTTTTTTGTACTTATATATCTTAAATGTACTTGATTTGATTAAAAGAATTAAACTAGTTAGTGATTATTGTGGGTGGTCGAAAAACTGCCTAAAAAAGCTATTTTTATAATAGACCGTAGACGAGGCGAGACGAGGTTTAGGAGGCGAGACGAGGTTTAGGAGGCGAGGCGAGGCAGCGATGGTTAACTCGTCAGTATGGCGAGACGGTGGCGAGGCACTTTTTTGGCTGACTCGCCGATCTCTGATTCGTGAATACTATGATGATAATGGTGTACAAAAACCTGGTAAAAAAGGTAAGATAATATTTTCTATTTAATATATCTAGTATCATTTGTTTTATTATATTTAGGCATTAGTTTAACTGTTGATCAATGGGAAAAATTAAAAACACTTATTAATCAAGTCGACAAAAGATTTATAGAAACCTATGTAAAAAAGAAACAAGTCATATAAACATTTCTAATAATCAGATAAAAAAACAACAGATTGAAAACCCTGTGAAAAAAGCTTATGTCAATAATTGTTATTTTTTTTTTTGTTTATTTAAACTTGTATAAAAAAAGTTCCTTTGCAATTTTCTGTTAACAGTCATTTTTTCTCTTACGATATTAAATACGATATATTATTTGCGAACGAAAAAAAAAATACCTCATTAATAGAAAACAATCAAATAAACAAAGGAAATCAGATCATTTCTTTCTTTAGATGAAAGAATTAATTTGTTCAACTATTGAACGTAATGTCGTATTAAAATGTATTCGTGATCATAAAGTGAGTTAAGAGATAATTCATTCGAAATAAAGTTTTTTACTTTCCCTCTCAGCGTTTGGATTGTCGAACGATTGATGAAACTCGTTCAGTTAATATTGAATTTCGTTCACATCCTGGTTATGTTTCAGTTACTCTTGGTCAAACACGGTAAACTATCGAGAATTTTATTATTTTTCATTGTTAAATGCTTGTTGTTTAGTGTTATTGCACAAGCATCATGTCGTATTACTAAACCAAAAGAATCACGTGCATCCGAAGGACATATTCGTATTCATCTTGATATGTCGAAAATTCCGTTAATTAATTTAGAAAATTGGAAGTTAGTATAAAGTTGTTCTTTTGAATATAATACCTTTTTGTTGAAAATTTTCTTTAAAAAAAAAGACATCAAGAATTTGTACAAGAACTAAATGGCATTCTTGAACAAAATATTCGTAATTCAAATTGTCTTGATCTTGAATCATTATGTATTAATTCTGGAGAATTAGTAAAATAATTAGCATATTAATTTATGTTTTAATGGATTTCGTTTTTAAAGGTATGGTCAATCAAAATCGATCTTATTGTACTAAATAATTGTGGTAATATATTGGATTGTGCTAATATAGCAGCACTTTGTTCATTATATCATTTTCGGTCAGTTAATGAAGATATTTTATAATATTTTTTTTGTATTATTAATTTTCTTTAGCTTACCAGAAGTATCTGTACATGGATCCGAAATTCGAGTGGTTTGTTAACTTTTTCTATATTTAAAAACAAAAAAACAAAAAAAAATAAAAATAAAATAAAACTTAATTTTATTTCAATAGTATTCGTCAACTGAACGTAGAGCTCATCCATTACGTATTCTTCATTTTCCGATCAATGTTTTATTTGCTTTCTTTGTTGATGGGTAAATTAATTAGTTACATATATTTTATTTTGTTTTATTATCTATGAATGTATATATCAGTCGATATACATTGATTGATCCAAATTCTGATGAAGAACGTCTTATGGATGGTTTCGTTTCCATTTCAATGAATCAACATAAAGAAATATGTGGAATCCATATGGGTGGAAAATTAGGACTAAAAAAAGAACAAGTTGAATTATGCAAGAAACTTGCATTTAAAAAAGTACTTGAATTAACTGATCGTATTCGACAAGTAGTAACTGATTATTATAAGTACGTTCTTCAATATTTACTTTTCAGCTTACATAAGAATCATCACTTCTGAATATTTTGATTTGTTTTCTTTGAATAAATTTATGTCATGCATACAAATTACGTTGTCATCCGAAATAATTTGTAACGAGTAACTTGCGAAATAGTTACGATTCTAGTCCGACACAAATTTTTTCAGTCAAGACTTAAACGATACTTTCATATTTATTTTTTTGCTCTAATTCAAGATCTGAATGTCGATTATTTTTATTTAAAAGTCTAGTTTTGTTTCCAAAAATCGAAATTTTTCAATAATTCCATGAATATAAAGGAGTGTTGATATTATTAAAGAGTCAAAATCACTCATGCAGATTTTCATATAGTGGTCGTAAAAAGTCTTAATACTACACAGAAAATACCTAAAAAGTAATCCTTTAGTCTTACAACTTGACCATAAATAGAGTATGTTGAAGTATGATTGCGTGGACTTATCCGAGCTTGATCAAGATTCATAAGCGAAAGCTAAAAGGTCAACATAGGTTTTTTCTTTCGACGAGGATATCTCAACGTAGAAAATAAAATTGTATGACATTAGATCTCCTCATCCGACAGCGAGGGGTTACCGAGATTAATTGTTTTTGCGGACTTATCTTTTCTGCGAAATTTATTTATTTAATGGGGATTTATTGATTATGATTATATTTTAGCGCATCATCACCCACATCCTCACCCACACATTGTATGTATTGAGAAATCAAATGGGATTTATCTCAAAGAACATCGGACCTTATTAAAAAGTCCCAATAAATCCCGATAAAATAAGTCCTAGTAACCGCTGTTTAAAAAACATTCAATAAGGTTCTAATAAAATACAAAAGCTTAACAGCTTGTATGATATATTACAGGACAATTGAACCGACTACACATACTCAACCATCGATTATACGTATTGATAATGATGAAGATGAAGATAATGAGAGTAGTAGTTCAAGTGAAAATGAAGATTCTGTTTTAACAAAATCAGAAATACCACCATCACCAATCGAAAACAATGTTTCAGTAAGTAATCTCAAATTAACAATAAATATCTTTTTTTTTTAAATTATAATTTATAGCTTTTACTCATGCCGGATCTTGATCATTTATCATTAACTGATGATGTTCCAACAATGACAACTATGAATGTTGATAAATCAACAAGTGACCTAGAAAATGGTAACAAAGAACTTTTTTCAAATATGTTCTTGTATTTATTCTAAATTTTTTTTTAGACGACGAACAAGATAACGAATGATCTTATCAAATCTTAAATAATTTCATTTTTAAAAATTTTGTGATACTCTATTTATCAACTTTCATACTTTTTCTTGTAATATACAGTTTGCTTGTATGTTTGTTATCTTTAAAGAAATAAAAAAACTAAGATACTCTTATCTTATGCCTGTAGAAAAGAAGTGTGCGCCAACGGAATAAATAATAAACATACTTTAGCTATATGATTCTTCTTACTTAGTAATGTGTTCCTATTTAACACAAAATCTTAATCAACCATGGCCAATATTAAAACATTATGATCAAGATCATTTATATAATATAGCTCTTCCTCTTGGTGGTATTGGTACAGGCACAGTAAGTTTAGGTGGACGTGGAGAATTGCGAGATTGGGAAATAGGAAATAAACCAGCAAAAAAGTATAGTACAGTAACAATTGGTAATGATGCACCATTTTTTTCTGTATTTGTTAATCAACCATCAACATCAAGTAAAATAACGAAAGCACTTATTGGTCCTGTTCATCCAACTGAACATTTACATTATGAAGGACGTGCATGTAATCATCATGGTTTACCAAGATTTCGACAAGCATCATTTGATGCTGCTTATCCATTTGGTATTGTTAATTTATCTGATAGTAATATGCCAGTATGCATTTTTTTTAAATAAATTTTGTTTGAAAACTAAATGATATTATTTAGATAGAAGTTCGTATAAAAGGTTTTAATCCATTTATACCAACTGATTCTGAATCAAGTGGTATTCCAATAGCTGTTTTATATTATGAAGTAACAAATATAACAAATGAAGTTTTAGATGTTAGTATATGTGGATCAATAAGAAATTTTGTTGGACAAGATGGTAGTAAATATTTTATTGCTGGCGATGGTGATTATGTACCCATTGGAGCTAAAAATAATATAAATGTTTATCGAGAAGATTTAGCTGGAGAATTAAAAGGTATTTATATGAATTCAACTAATGTTGATCCAAGTGATCCAGCATGGGGAACAATTGCTTTAACAACATTAGTTGATTCACCAGATACTATTATTACATATCGTTTATCATCCATCGCAAATGCATGGTATCATGCTATACTCGATTTTTGGGATGACGTAAGTATAAAATTATTAAAGATTTGAATCACTTCAAAAATCTTTTTCTATCAGTTTAGTGCTGATGGTACACTTCATGATAAAGGACAATTAGTTGATGATAATCCAATGGCAAGTTTAGCTGTTAAAAAGAAAATTCAACCTGGTGATGTTGAACTTTTTCCATTTTTTATAACGTGGAATTTTCCTAATCGAATGGCATGGTCACCAACTATTGTTGGCAATTATTATTCAACATTGTATAAAGATGCATGGGATGTATGTATTCAAACTTTACCTCATCTTGCTGATTTAGAATCGAATACACTCGATTTTGTAAATCTTATTTTGGCAAGTGATTATCCTGGTGTACTTAAAGAAGCTGCACTATTTAATTTAGCAACACTTCGTTCACAAACAGTTTTTCGTATAGCCGATGGACATTTAATGGCATGGGAAGGAGTTTTTGATATATTTGGTTCGTGTCTTGGTTCTTGTACACATGTTTGGAATTATGAACAAGCTATTGCTTTTCTTTTTGGTAATCTTGCTAAAACAATGCGTGATGTAGAATTCAACTATGCTACATTTGATGATGGTGCTATGAATTTTCGTGTACAACTTCCATTAACAAAACCACAAGAACGAACTGGAACTGCTGCAGTAAGAAAAATAGAAAGGAACAAAGATTAGGAAAAAAAACTACTTGTTTATTGTTTAGGATGGACAAATGGGATGTATTATGAAAATGTATCGCGATTGGCAAGTAAATGCAAAGAATATTTAGAATATAAAAAATAAAATATTGAAAATGGTTCTTGTTTTTATTCATAGCTATCTGGTGATGATGATTTTTTGAAAAAAAATTGGGAACAAGTCAAAAAAGTTTTAGCTTTTGCTTGGCAGCCTAATAGTTGGGATGCTGATCAAGATGGTGTTGAAGAAGGAGCTCAACCGAATACAATGGATGTTACTTACTATGGTATGTAATATTTGAAATATCACAATAGTTTGAAAACAAAAGATTAAGTGAAGGAAAAGAACTTAGTTAGGTGAATGTTTTCAAAAATATTTACCATAATATAATCAAGATCTTTTGATATTATATATTTGCATATTCTATATGAGGGTTCAGTTTAGATCTAATTGACTTACTGATCTAAACAGTTTAATGATCAAAAGAATATTTTGCCCATTTTTGCATTTGAAATATTCATTATCAACTTTGAGAAACCTGACGAGGGATTCACCTTAACTCACATTCATCGTTTAAGCTCATATTGGATCCACAGGCAGGTTTCGTTGAGACTAATTTGATAAAATTCCCGATTTTTTAAATATGTGTGAGAATATTGAAAAAGATTTTTTATTTTAGGTCCTAATCCGCAGTGCAATTTTTGGTATTTAGGTGCTCTTCGTGCTGCATATCTTATGGCATCATATATTGGTGATGAAGATTTTGCTAATAAATGTGGATATCTATTTATAAATGGTAGCACTTGGATAGATGAGAATTTATTTAATGGCGAATATTATGAACAGAAAATAATTGATCCTAAAACTGGTCATTTTATTTCTAGTGATGATCCAAATGTACCTGATTATCAACTTGGTAAAGGTTGTCTTGTCGATCAATTAGTTGGTCAAATGATGTCTCATGTATGTAATTTGGGTTATCTTGCTTCATCGACAAATATGGCAACAACATGTCGTAGTATATTAAAATATAATTATCTTGATACATTTAATGAACATTTTAATAATATGCGTTCGTTTGTTATTGGTGATGAAAGTGGACTTTTAATGGCATCATGGCCACATGGACGTTTACAATTTCCATTTCCATATTTTTCAGAATCAATGACTGGTTTTGAATATACAGCTGCATGTAATATGATATATGAATATCAAACACAAGAAGGTTTAAAATGTATACAAAGTATTCGAGATCGTTTTGATGGTCTTAAACGAAATCCATTTAGTGAACCAGAATGTGGACATCACTATGGACGATCTATGACTAGTTGGGCAACACTTTTAGCTTGGTCAGGTTTTCATTATTCAGCTGTGACACGAACAATGGAATTCGGTGATAAAACTGGTGTATTTTTCTGGTCAAATGGATATTCTTGGGGTTCATGTTGGATTGTTAAAAATAAGACAAAAGCGCATTTAACACTTGTTTATGGTACTATTGAAATAGAATTTTTTGGAATCAAAGGAAAACCTATGAAGAAATTGCTTGAACGAGTTATACTATCATCGACTAGTGACATGAAAACACTAACCATTAAATTTGACGATTAAATTTATTCTTTTTTTTGTTTCCGTAACATGTAATTTTCATTTATTATACTAAATAAAATAAATTTATATAGACTAACAGAGTTGAATAGAATTTTACGAAATGAATTATGACAATTATTTCTTTATTATGATTACACTTAAAAGTTAATGGCATAACTACAGGGAGCTAGGAGATTTTAGTCTTCTCCCTCCACGAATGGTTGGTTTTCGGTAAAAAAAGGACTTGAGCTCTTCTAGAAGCTTTACCAGAGAGCCATCATCTATTTTTCAGTAATGTTGTGCTCGGCTACAATTTGTCTCAATCTGATCCGGTCGCCTCATACTCGAACCCGAAAAGCTGTATCCGAACGGTAGCTAATCAACACCCTATAAGTACTTTTATAGTCACAGTACGGTTTTCAAAATTTTATTCTATATGAAAAAGTATACATCTAGTTTATTCCATCAACAGCTTATAAACCAGAGATCACCTGAAATTCTACAATAAAGCAAGTGAATCGAGGAATTTAGCATTCACTCTGTGTTTTTCGGTTTGTAAAACTAGATCAATCTTACTATGTATACATTTGCATGTTGTTGATGATTCTGGAATGGAATGCACTGTTTATATCAAATGTCATGATTGTGGATACATACATGAATGCTTTTTAAATCACGATAATACATGTTCATTGTTTTCATAATTCATGTTTCTTTCCATGTATTCAGTTACTTCGTCATACAGTTCATCATCATTTATAGATGAGTTTTCATCAGACACGAATTATTTTGGTAAAACAATACTTTACTATAAATAACAGTTTGAAAAAGTAAGAATATCTTCAAGTGTTGAGATCTCATTATTTCCTGAGTACTCAACTCGGTTGCAGAACACTACTCTCCGGATGCGGTCAGGTGATTTATAAGGCTTTAAAATTGATTAGTATATTTGTTTTTACTTGGGTTTGTACCCTCTAAAACATAAAGGTATTCTCGGAAACCAGTGAAAAAAGGTTTCCGAGCTTGTTGCTATTGGAAACCTTTTAAGGATCTCCGAGGGTAAAAAAATGGGTTTTCGAAGGTTCAGAAACCCTTAAAAGGGTCCTCGAGGGTAAGAAATGGGTTTCCGAACCCACGGAAGCATTTTTTCGCTGATTTCCGAGAATATCTTTTTTTACAGAGTATATGAACAAGTCTATAATAAATTAAATCAAAAGAATACTATAAATTTTATTTCATACAACATATTATAGAAACTCTACAATGGCGTCATTGACTATCTATACCTGAGAAATACAAAGACAAAGCTACAAGAAAAAGAAGAAAACATCCTTCAGTATCAGTTTTGATGTTGAAGTTGTCGAGAAGAATGATCCGAAATCCGATGCTAATACACTTAGCAGAACGCCTGTTTGTGTGGCGAATAAGACGACTACAACAAAGATAAAAGTATTCATTAATAACATAAAAAAGTCAGGGGTATAACACGAATTGACGAAAAGATATCATAAATGACAAGCTTAGCCAGTGGAGGAGCCAGAAGGTGGCTGGGGAGGGCTCAGCCCCCCTCAGGAACTTTTGAGCCTCCCTCCTCCCAGGAAAATGTGTAAAGCATGTATTTTATTCCCCAAGGGAGGCTCGAAGATCCCTCAGAGGGGGCTGAGCTCTCCTCAGCTCAAAATCTTGGCTCCGCCACTAAGCATAGCAGAGTGAGAAGCACAATGAACACAATCCAAGCTCATGGAAAAAAGCGATATGAAATCGGAGGAAACATCTTTATCATAGGGACAGCTGCTTAGGTAAATTTTTTGTAAAAATAATAGAAAATCAGAGGACATTCACTCGAGAAAACAACAAAACTATACGACGTGAAAATTAATTACTTCGGTGAACAAAAAAGTACTTTTGTATGTTGGCTTTGAAGCTTGAAAGCCTTCGCGTGAAAAAAGATACGAAATCTTGCTTTAAAATTTTGTTGAGTATCGACGTCTTCCTTAAATAAGTCCTTCTAAAATGAATTCAAATCATGAAAACTTTTCGAATGGTATTCACAGAATTCTCATGATTCTTTCGTTATGTAGAGTGTAATATTAGTATTTCAACAGTAAGATTTTCAAAAGTAACGAAAACATCGATTTTCCATAAAGAAATAGCCGATTGCATACATCAAGAAGTCTAGTGAGGTCTGATGAACTTTGTTGAAGCATTACAATTTTCTATTTTCCTTTACTCAAGACCTTGCGTTTTCTGCGAGCGCCGCTATTTTCGTTATTTTATCTTCCTTTCTTAAAAGGACAACATGAAATAGTGATGTTTCATAGTAGTCTGGAAAGAAAATGGCAAAATACTACATTTGTCTTCAATACTTTCAGTATGTGATATGCTTTGGTTATGAAAATTTAGTATTCGATGATTATTTAGAATTTCGATTCAGCTAATTATCTGATTTGAAGACATTTTGGATGGAATGACTTTTATTTATTGAACATTTCTTGTATAGTAGAGGTAGTCTTTCAAGAAAAATTAACTTCGAAATTGAATAATTTATTTCTTCAGCTGTGTAAAAACCGTACTATGAAAGAGAAATTTTTTCAATGCACTAAAATGAAAAATTAAACTTTTGCTCTTTTCAAAACATTGCTGTAAAATGAGTGAAATGTTTAAAAAAAATGACTTTTAACCAACAACCTACATGTAGTTAGATTATTGGATATAACACCTGCAATTAATCGATCAATGTTTATCATATCCATTCAACAGATTTTCAATGGATGAAATCCTTTTTTCTTTTTGTACTTCAGATTTAAATGTCTAACCTGTTGAAAAGTTCAAACTTTTGCTGTTTATCACCAGTTTGGATTGTTGTTATCTATATCCTTGACACTTGTATCGACCGACAAAATAACATGAAAAATGGCTCAATACAAATAGTTATTCGCATACAATGTTCTTTATATGTGTTTGAGCGGGTGGTAACATATTCAGATTTTTCATCGCATACATAATAATTAAGATTAAATGAGCCTTGTAATGTTGAAGATGTAGTAAAAACTGATAGATTTTTCCCTTGTAAATCATTTATGCATTTACATTTGCTTGTTGACGACAATGAAATTGAAGAACTCTGATAGCTCTCGCATAGATAAAATGTTGCTAATCTGAGAGCAAAATACGATGAAAAATATTTAATGTTTCATTATTTCCAATAATTTTTACTATATGACGTAAAGTTTTACAAGATTCGATATTTTGTTTTCAATATCAATAATGGGTGAAGAAATTGACCTAATTTTCATCATTGCGAATTAAGTGCTGTTGAATCGAGTCTACCATTACGTATTTTTTGTGATCAACACTAACTTATTTTGAACATCAAGAACAACTCATAGAATACCGACACCTTATGATAAGGGTGTGTGTTTGACTGTGGGTGCGAGTATATGAGAGAAGAAATAAGAATCAGAGTAGTGAATATAGTTATTAACAAAATCGACCAGACAGGAGAACTGTGTATGTCTAATTTGACAAGCGGAGACCTAAAACAAATATTATTATTATCATTGAACAACAGATATTGCCAATTCAATGCATGGTTTTATAGATAAAAATACGACTGACTCATTTGAAATACTTTCTCATCAAGCTTAGCTGATTTTTATGCGTATGAATATATAAGAAAAACATGGAGACGTTATTAGACTATTCATGTTATAGAGACACGTGGATGATATCTTTATAATAGCAGAACTGAACAAAAAATACAAAAATCAACTGTAGATTTAAGTCGATTAAAAGAAATGCTCACCAAATCAAATTATCTAACACATGTCACCGATAAATATATTCAAAACACGCAAAAATCAACACACCCTACAATAAACGAAACCAAGAAATACAATGAAACAGAGAATATTAAATATCATACCATGTAACCATTCATGCATAGTATAGCATTGATGAAAAGAAAATAGAAACGATTATAATTTTACGCATTCTTCTCTTACCCAAACGAGATTCAAACAGCACGTACGATTTTAACCTAGCGAAAATCAAGATCAAACGTTTAGGCAAATGAGTTGAAATTGTGAAGCAGTTTATAATAGAGAAACCAAAATAGGTACATAAAAACGAATGATACGACACAAAAACATAATTAAAAAGAACAGATTAAAATAAACTTTAGGGATAGTAGAACAATATCACGATAAGATATATCAACGTATGCTTGATTTAACAAAAACATATTTTTATTGATTACAAGATTCACTGAAAAACTGACGAATAAAAGTGTCGATTTCTTCACCCATCGAAAATTCGCTCAATCTTGTCTTGTGTCCTCAATGGTTTTTATGTAGGTTTTTCTCGGAATTGTTGCAACTGCTTACATATTACAAATTTTCACTGACTACATATTTCAACATCTTCTTAACTACTTCGAACGAGACTTGTCGACGCATCATAAATAACTCATCCGTGAATTATCGATTACTTCACTAGTGTATAAGTGGATGTGGAAGAGTGGATGTATCGGTGCTGGAGAAAAAGACAAGCACAGTCACATTTACTGACTCGTCCACAGCAGAGTCACAATTATTGCGCTGGGAACAGCATTTTCTGGGTCGGAAAATTGATGTGTTGTCACTTTTTAAAAGAGAACTCGTGTTTTTCATCTGAAGATCGTACAATCGTGTGGATCACGGAGAATTACGGACAATTGTTCAGCCTATCACCTTTGATGGAGAAAGTCAAAACTTGAATTTCTGGAACCTAAAAATTTTACAGTTTTCTAGAAAATCAGCTAAAACCCTGAAAGGAGAGTGCATTCGATTTGCTTACAACGTATTTATCTGTCAAATACAAAAACTAAAGATCAGCATGTGGTTGCGTTCCAGAGTTATTTTATCCACACTGATGATCTCTTTTACTTTTAAATGGATGGTCAAATTTAAATATAGTATTTTACTTCAATTTTAGTGACAATTAATGCAGACAATCACCTAGATAAACTTGTACAGGCATTG